TTTCTAATATGGCTAGCAGGCTTAGTTCAAATGGCAATAGAATCAATGTGCGGTAAATAGAATTAGACATTTAACGGATGTGGCAATATCTAAACATGTTTAGTTTAGCCGTTTCCACAGAATTATGTCAAATGAAGTTAGTTCTATTATAGGTTAAAGCACCAGATGTAAATTACATTGACTAGGCTAATAGATGTCAAAGACTATATGTTCGAATCTGTGGGAATACGAAAATAGAATGATTTGTACATTAATTTTTTTTTATATACGTAGGAGGCAACAAATATACGGCCAATCTGGTGGTAAACGGTTACCATAGCCTAGGGATGGGAAACACCAGGTGTATCACGTACGCGTTGTCGACCCTTAAAAAACCTTAATATACCCTTAAAAAAGAACATGCTGTAGTCTCTCAGGTAGTTACTTTATTCCTCAACCATCGTATCGCTCGCCATCATCAGGGAATTCATCCCCACATACAAAAACCTAAGTGGTCTCGGACGATGTGGTTTTAGAGGAGCTTCCTCCTGCGTACACTTAGTTGGTGGATTGAATTTCTTGCCGAGGTATTTCTCAAGAGACTACAACATGGGGTTTTTCAAGAAGAGTATATTAAGGTTTCTTAAGGGTCTGCAAAGCGCAAGTGACACCGGTGTCTCAAACGGAAACCATTTACCATCACATGTACCGTATGCTTGATGGCCACCATCGTAATACATAAGAAAAAGCTAAGTGTACTTGGGAGAAAGTTCCTCCATAACCTCACTGTCCGACAATCAAATAAACGCTTTATCTATCTATCTATATATGTATATTTGCTACATTTACAACCATTTACCATCACATGTACCGTATGCTTGATGGCCACCATCGTAATACATAAGAAAAAGCTAAGTGTACTTGGGAGAAAGTTCCTCCATAACCTCACTGTCCGACAATCAAATAAACGCTTTATCTATCTATCTATATATGTATATTTGCTACATTTATAACCATTTACCATCACATGTACCGTATGCTTGATGGCCACCATCGTAATATATAAGAAAAAGCTAAGTGTACTTGGGATAAAGATCCTCCATAACCTCACTGTCCGACAATCAAATAAACGCTTTCGCTTTATCTATCTATCTATATATGTATATTTGCTTTATCTCATTCTGAAACAAATGCCTGCATAGCTACGCAGCTAATGTGAGTTGAGAATATCTGCTCTTCGGGTTACCCAACCCGAAGAGCAGATATTCTCAACTCACATTTAAAATTTTAAACATTCTCAGCAAAATTTCCCCATCGAAATTATTCATTGCCGACATCTGAAAGTTCTGAACAACTAGCTAGCGCAACGCTCCGTAGTTGCGCCTTTTATAATATTTATAAAGGGGAAGTTAAGCGGTTTTTGTGAAGAGCTCGCCACTTTTGTGTACCATTCATAGTTTTTTTTTGCTACAAAAATGCTTCAGTTTTCTTCGTAACTCTTTAATTGTATGCATATTAAACCGTTTAAACCAAGTTTACCTTAAGAAGCAACGGTTTTGTTTAATGTAAAGTAGTTGTATGTGTAAGTATAATTTTAAACAATACTATTTTGCATGCCACTACTATGGCAAAACACATGATACTAAGTTTTAATTATTTATTTATTTTTATTTTATTTATTTAACTTTAATGCACACAATATAATATATAGTATAGTACATTTGGCGGACTTAACACCATGCGGCATTTTCTACCAGTCAACCATTGGTGGTGCAGAGAATAATTGTTGGCGGTGCAAAATTATAAACATAAACAAAATGCAACAAAATATAAATATATATACAATATATATATATACTTAAGAGATACAATAATATATAACATAAATATATACAAATATGATACCTATATACACAAATACACACATATATATGCAATAAACTTAAATATATACCAAATAGTCTGACAGTCACAGAACTAAAGAGAGTTAAATGGAAAAAAAGTGAATTCAGAGAAGAGAGAAAGTTATAAATTCAAATAATATTCCCGTAGTTTACGTTTAAAAGAAAATACTATAATTACCATCTTTTATACTGTGTTTTTTAAGCAAATAAATTATTATTATTATTATTATAAGTAGTTGAATGCCCCTACTATTCCTGTTTTTTTTAGAGAAGTAATAATAATCGTTGAGTGTAAATTTATATATATTTTATATTCTTATGTATTAAAATCAAAGACTGTTGTCTGTTGTCATATAAGAATATATTTATTTTATATTTATATAATTTTAATTGTTTTTATACAAAAACGGTTTTAAACGATTGTAATAATGCTATAAACGCGAAAGTTTGTGAGTATGAATGGATGTTTATTACTCTTTCACGAAAAAACTACTGAATGGATTTTAATGAAACTTTACAGTAATATAGATTATACATCAGAATAATTTAAAAGCTATATATTTCATGCGGTTAAAACCTGACCAGTAAATAATAATTCTGGACAATCTACACAGCGCCATCTAGTCCCAAGTTAAGCAGAACTTTTGTTTTGGGTACTAGTCTAATATAAATATTTAAATACATTTCTTTTGTAAATACATACATAATATAAATAGAAAACGTACAGACCGATACAAACAATCATACTTATTATTACAAATGTTTGTACAAATCACAAAGCGCCATGTGGTCCTAAGCTAAGCTGAGCTTGTATTATTAATAATAAAAAACCTATGTAAATACTTAGATATATATATTTTTACAAATACATACATAATATACATAGAAAACACCCAGAACTATACAAACAATCATGAATACAAATATTTGAACCTGCGACTATCGGAGGTAAAGAGGTTTGCGAAACCGCTGCACTACTGAGACCGTCACATCCCATGTCAATCTTCGTAATACAATCTTCATCACAAATTTAATTAAGGTTTAGTAGTTTAGTCTTGAATGTAATAACAGACGTACAGATAAACTTGAGCATTAGTATGGAGACCGTCCAACAAGTGGAATACTCGAAAAGCCCTTTTATTTTCTTTCATTCCCCAAAAACATAATAACAGTAATCCATTGAAGATTAGAACTAAAAATAATTATGAATTCTGAGAAGTTAACGAAGGCCCGAAGGGAGGGCAAACTTCGGTCTCGGGGGGGTTGTTTTTGACTTTTCTTGAGTTATACCCTTTCGTTGGGTTGCCAGTCGAATGTTTATGTGGAAACCACTGTTAACATAGTTGTAGAGTTAGGGTTGCCAGTTATACTTTTTTTTTTATATTAAAAGTAGCTGAGAATTTATATCCATATATCTGTTTTATCGGCAAGAGCCCCACCGACAAGAGCGTAGCTCTTAAATTATGAATGAATGAATCTGTTTTGTAAACAGATTGTAATAAACAAAATATTAATTTGTTTATTTTTAAATATATGTTTTTAAATTATATATTATGTTAAGATTAAGTTTTTTTTCTTCAGGACAATTAACACTACATCGTCTAGTCCCACGATAAGCAGAGCTTGTTATGGGTACTAGAGAACTGATATAAATACTTAGATCTTTTTTTTTCTTTTTCACAGATTTTTTTAAATACATACAAATAGTTTATCTTTTTTTTTTATTTTGTTTCTATTATAAAAAACCAAAAAGTAGGTACTAAGTAAATATTATTTCTTTCTTTCTTGATATTAAGGTAAATTTTTACAACAATATATTAAAGAAATCCACAACTAAATCGCTACTGATTTTGATTGGAAATGCACATAAATTATAACTTTTTTTTTATTGCTTAAATAGGGTCCTTTTTTTATATATCTTCCATGTACTTGCAGATAGCGTTTAGGTCATTTTTATTACATATGACGACCTCGGTTGTCTAGCGGTCTAGCACACCGCTTTATATCCGATGGTCGCGGGTTCGATTCCTCGCACGGTACAAACATTTGTATTCATGAGTATAATTGTTTGTATCAGTCTGGGTGTTTTCTCTTGTATAATATGTATGTATTTACGAAAAAAACAAAAAAAAATATGTATCTGTATCAGTTATCTAGTACCCATAACACAAGCTTTAGCTAGCTTAACTTGGGACTAGATGGCGCTGTGTGAATTGTCCTGAGATTATTATTATTATTATTATATGTATAAAATAGTAGATTACTCAAAATTCAAATCATAAATTCAAACCATCCTTCCGTCATTCTGCCTACCCCATTTCTATAAATAGGGAGTGAAATAAATATTTCACTACACTTACTCCAAATACGGGCCTAAACGCTCATTAATCCATAATTAAACCACGTCAGAGACCACAAAGCCGGGAATACCACCTTTCACGGTCGAGCAAACCCGGGACGAAGCACTATATCACGCGCCGCTGGTTTTCTCACAGAATACCATTGGGTGAAAAGCGTATATTGTGTGAAACACCTTAATAGAAAATTGATAACATCTCCCCAGGGTTGTCAAACGTTGGACTGTACGGAATTGGTATCATAATAAATGTATGAATTGACGGTCGGTGGTTTAGTGGTTAAACATACCGGTTTGCTTTCTAAAGTCACGGTTCGATTCCTCGAAACTTAGTTACATCTGTACCCTACAATGGAATTGGTGTCATTATAAATGTAGGAATTGACGGCCTCGGATGTCTAGCAGTTATGCACGCCGGTTTGCTTTCGAAAGTCGCGGGTTCGATTCCTCACAAGTTACTTACATTTGTACACTATAACGGATTTGGTAACGTAATAAATGTAGGAATTGACGGCCTTGGTGGTTTAGCAGTTAAACACACCGGTTTACTTTCGAAAACCGCGGGTTCGATTCCTCGATTCTCTTCTATTCTATTCGATTCTGTAGACTATTTTGTAAGATAAAAGATACTACGTACTAACCTCATAATACACTCTATTTTCATGTCAAATTTCGTTTTTAATATTAACACACAGACAGTCACACTTCCTCGTTTATATTAGTATGAACAAATAAAATAAAATGAATTCCTTTTGTTACAGAACGAGCGGTAGAATGTCGGAGAATGTTTTATCATTCAAAGCTGATGCATCAGATAACAAGGCGAGGTACACGTGCGAGGCAAAGAATATAATGATCAGCAACACGCTGAAGGCAGAAATTGACCTTACAGTACTATGTAAGTATTTTTTTAATATTAACTATTATTCGGTCAATTCAAACATACTTATATCCGTCATACTCGTGTACGGATGTTGCTTGTAGGGACTGGTCTGCTCTAATCACTATAACTGATTTCCTCTTATTAATTGTTTAACCAGTTGTTGTGTATTCAATATTTTTTCTATTTGATTATTTAATTGAATTAGTGCTAATCGGTAGTTGGTATTCACACACTTAAACTTAAATTGTAAAGTAAGAATAAAATTATTTAAAAGAGCAACACACAAGTTTCTTGCTCGTTTTTCTTGTGATGAGACAGCAGAGAAAAGAAAAAAAAACAAAAATTATAACAAATACATACAGAAAATAATATATATATACAGATGCAAACATATAAAAATATTAATATACCCATATAAAATATATAAGTTTATGGATTACATATAAATAAAATATAAAATTAAACTACATATATATGTGTGTGAAATACATGGGAGTGTGTAATGTTTTTTTAATAAGTTAATGTATTTTTATGCATATATGAGTAGTGGCCCACTACGCTACGATGCTCTCAACTTTATACAACAACGTAATAAGGACTTTATGGTAAAGGGTTACGGTATTAATTAAAGTACAGGATAAGTGGCATCAAACCTGTTGACCCTATTATAACGACATTTAATAGGTTTTAGTTGCCTTCCGTTAGAATACCATAATTTTACGGTGCATCAAAAAACTGGTACACTTTTTATAGTATGAATTTAATTTACATTAATGTGATTTTTGTTCTGTAACAAGATTAGGATAGAAGGATACTGTATAACTAATATCGTAAGCTTTTCTGAATCTAGCAATAATGAAGCCTTTTATATATTTCTATTTATTCAATGAAATTTAAAAAGTAAATCAACTTTTAATTCCTTTTAAACTTTACCCTATTATGTATTTCATAAAGTCGTCATTAAAATCTATCCGCAATTCACTATAATATCGAGTAACATACAGACAAAGAAAACGCAGTACACCGTTTCCATATCATTACATAGTATAAAACAAAGTCGCTGTCGCTGTCTGTCCGTCCCTATATATGCTTAAATCTTTGACACTATGCAACGGATTTTGAAACGTTTTTTTAAATAGATAGTGATTTTTTTCGGACTACTCTAATGCTGTTGGCCGCAGCTGGCCTTTACGGCTTCATCGAAGAGCGATTCTAGAGGAAGGTTTATATATATAATATATGTACACCAAGCGAAGGCGGGGTGGGGAGCTAGTATAGAATAATATACGAACATCAATTAAAATGAACATCGTGAAATAACTCGAATATCAACATACAAATTTATCCAATACGAAAATCACATTAAGCTGAAAGACATAATTATACTTGAGTATTATTTTAATGATCAATTCCAATGAATCCTACTGAATACTTTATTAACATTGGTAAATTTACATTCCAACTCGACCTCTTTGGGGGACCTTCAATGTACGTTGGAGTTGAGTTTGTTATATAATTCTGATACATTTTACGTATTTCCAAATCCTTTGATAAAGTAAATATATCAAAGTGAGGGATTGTCAAAAAACATTAATTCGAGTTTGTGTGCAAGTGATAAGAGGTAGCGGACGAGGCTACCTTGATAAAATAAATAGAATATGGGAGAAAGAATTTTGCTAATATTATAAACGCGAAAGTTTGTAAGTATGGATGGACATTTGGTACTCTTCACGCTAAAACTATTTTGATTAAACTTTACAGTATAACTTATATCTTATATATAAAATTCTCTTGTCACAGTTTTCGTTCCCATACTCCTCCGAATTGACCGATTCTCATGAAATTTTGTGAGCGTATTGAGTAGGTCTGAAAATCGGCCAACATCTATTTTTCATCCTCCTAAATGTTAGGGGTAGTCCACCCCTAATTTTTTTTTTTATTATATGGCAAAACAATGTTTGCCGGGACAGCTAGTATAGTATATAGTTGCGGAAGTCTTTTATTATGTTGGCAAGGTATCATCATTGTATACTATCATACTATGTGTGTAGAGTCAGATACATTAATATCTGAAACTCGCGATTCCAAAATACTTAATCAATCAAAATTAAACAAAAACACCTATAGATATATTTTTCAATGAGAATGGAATGGTGTATCCACTTATGGTAACGGTGTACGCTGACGGGGCACTATTGGAGAATGATAAGATGAGCATAAGGTCAAATCAGTTAGCCCATCGTGCCATCAAAATAACACAGGCTATAATTTAATACGGTTTTATGTAAATTGGGTCCGATCAGCAAGTACAAAATAAAAAATTGTATTTTTTTTTATTTATGTTTTAATTGCATGCGTCGTAATAGTCAGTAATGGCAACACGTGAGTGGTACCACAGACGTTACAGGATTCATACTGCTAACGGATACCACTTACCGTCAGGTAGGCTATCTGCTCGTTTACCATTCCAGTTACATCAATTAAAGTTTATTTAAACGAGTCGTCATTGAAATATGTTAATTTACATAAACGCGAATCTTAGTATTATACGAATCTGCTTATAATTTATGTAATTAAAGTCATACATATTTAGATTCAAGATTATAATCTAAATAAATTATACATTTAACTGTACAATTAGTAATTATCAAATCAAAATATCTTTATTCACTCTCTTATGATTATGTCAAATCTACCGTCAGTTCGGAGTGCTTTCGAGCTGAGAGCTTTTATGCTTTTCAAATGAGATAGAACTTGATTACAAATATATAGATTGTTTAAATTAAATTACGAAAAATGTCGTGAACTAGAAATCAGCATACACTATTGCATTTTCATCAAAAATAAATAAGGGAACATATAGATTTCTATATTTCAAATAAAAAAAAATTAAGGTAACTAACACGTATAAAAAATACAGTCGAATTGAAAACCTCTTCTTTTTTTAAATCGGTTAAATAAAATCTATTATTACCGCCTTAGTGTTTCACTTGTACCATTCCCGAAAGCGCTGCTAGTCCCTAGCTCATTGTTTATTTACGCTGAACAGGTAACTTCAAATGGGGTCCCATTGGTACAACAACTGAACCCTAACGGGGTATTCCTTTCTGACTTCCATCATTTTGCATCAGTAGTCAAAGACCGCTGGGCTTTGATTTTTTTTAATGGAATAAAATATATGTAAAAGTCATTAACTTTACATTATTTCGCATATCTAGTACAAACCTGGTGTAATTCAGAAATTTGAAATTTTTGAAATTAGATTCTAACACCACAGTTATAAAGTGGACTTTCCAAGATTTGTAATTTAACCAGCCAGTATTAGAATAAGTGTACGATTTGTATTATTAACCGGATCTTAACATGAATAATTTTATGGCAAACTTAGAGAGAGGTAGAGAGAGAGGTAAATACCTTTATATTTACCTCTCTCTTTCATACTTCGAAATTGCTATAAAATTGTTAAGAATGGTTAATCATCATTACATAGTATAAAACAAAGTCGCTGTCGCTGTCTGTCTCTATGTACGCTTGAATCTTTAAAACTACGCAATGGATTTTGAAGTGGTTTTTTTAAGTAGATAGAGTGATTCAAGAGGCAGGTATATGTATATAACACATGGGCACTCGTGCGAAGCCGGGCGAGTAGCTAGTAATATAAATATTGTATATTAATCTTTAACTCTATATTTGATATTTTATTATGATCTGTAATAAGTGATACAGCGCCATCTAGTTCCAAAATAAATGAAGCTTTTACATACAAAACAATTGATAGAAATACCTAAATAATTTCTTTTTTATATATATAATAATAATAATCTCAGGACAATTCACACAGCGCCATCTAGACCCAAGTTAAGCTAGCTAAAGCTTGTGTTATGGGTACTGGATACATATACATAGATATATATTTTTTTGTAAATATATACATATTATATACATAGAAAACACCCAGACCGATACAAACAGAATACAAATGTTTGTGCCGTGCGAGGAATCGAACCCGCGACCATCCGTCGTATATAGTATATATAGTATACTAATGATTTAACCCAGCTTCGCATGGATGCAATGACAGCTGTGATCCTATTTTTTTAATAGTACAGATGTAGCTTACTGTAGTTATATATCTTATATATAAAATTCTTGTGTCACAGTTTTCGTTCCCATACTCCTCCGAAACGGCTTGACCGATTCTCATGAAATTTTGTGAGCGTATTGAGTAGGTCTGAGAATCGGCCAACATCTATTTTTCATCCCCCTAAATGTTAGGGGTAGTCCACCCCAAAATTTTTTTTTATATTAAGGCAAAACAACGTTTGCCGGGACAGCTAGTATTATATATGATTTGTTTGTATGTATTTTAACATCAGGTTTGTATTTTTACGGTTATTTGTATCTTTCCTCTTCATAATATAATGGGTGTGGATGATAGAATGAATGGACTGTATGTGTAATGTAAATCGAACAATCGATAGAAAATGGTAAATACTTATAATAAAGATACGTGTACAAACGGTTGTAAGGCAAAAAGTCTTAATAAAAATATAAGACAATTCTAAAAGAAAATACATTTAAAATTGGTAGAAAAATAAACATATAAAAATGTGCAAACAGTTTGCAACAATGGGGATATTAACATTATATTTAAAAAAAAATAAAGAAATCGTATTATAATCCCACACGTGCTAATCCAGGGTAGTCACTAGTATAGAATAATGAGAGTTTCGAAATAAAATTAATAATCTGTATTCAAATAAACTCAATAAAAGTGCTTGATTTTTTTAATAATTATATTTTTTTAATTCTATCTCTCATTTGAAATGGACTCATCACAAGTAGAACGAAAAAGAAACTTGTGTTACTCCTCTTTTGTGTAAATGTTATTTTAAATAAATAATTACACAATAACAAGTAAGAGGCGTGTGATAATCTTTTGCATAAATGTTATTTTCAATAAATAAATACATAGTAAGAAGTAAGAGGCATGCGATAATCAACATAGAAACGGC